ATCTTGAGGGCTGGGGCAGGATCATGTTGGCTGCCTTTTGTATTGTCTCAGCACCGTGCCTGGCACCTGGTAGGCACTCAAAGGAATAAGTGGATGAACAGATCCAGAAAAGCTGAGCTGGAGAGCGTGAGTCAGACTTTTGACTGCAAGGAGGAAGAGTTTATTCCCTTGTTCACCTGGATGGGCAACCACAAGGAGATGGGGAAGACGGTCCTAGGTTCAAATTGTCCATCTTCCTTCTGGTCTCAGACTCAGGTGCCATGATGACCATGGTGGGCCCCAGCCACTCTGAGCTTCCTGATATTTCAGACCAGGGTACAATTTAGAAACCCAGGAGAGAGGTGCTCCAGCCCTTGGTGTTCTTTGGGAACAAATGTGGTTTCCATTCCCTCCCTCATTCACTGCTCCCTGAGTAACCAGGAGGAATTCAAGTTTGCTCTGAGGATGAAAAGAAGACCCGATTTCTGGGGCACCCTCTCCGAGTTAAACACGGTTGACATTTATTGAACACCTACCCTGGGCCAGGCACATTCTAAGCACCTAACATGTAATCCTCACAGGGAGGGACCCATGAAGGTAACACTGCTGTTTCTATACAGATGAGGAAACTGGAGCACAGAGAGGTTATGTAACCTGCCCAAGGTCACACAGCTAGTGAGGAGTTTTAGCTAGGACTTAAAGCCACATCGCTAACCGTTATGCAATACTGTTTCACTGTGCCCTGGCTCGGTGTATCCTTTAACTTCATGAAGCAGGCGCTGCCTTCTGTTACAGAAGCTACACTTACAGGTCTCCTCCTCCTCCTTCTTAAACAACTATTTAAAAATGCGACCGCCATTCTTAGCTCTCTAGGCCCTGCAGAAACAGGCCTCGAGCTGGATTCGGCCCATGAGCTGAATGACTATGCAGCAGACAGAGAAGCAAGATAGCTTCAGATAGTTTGAAATGGCCCCAAAGAGATAAAATGGGGAAGGGTATAGAGGGGGTGGCCAGGGGTGGCCTTATCAACCAGCGGGGTCAGAGAGGGCTCCCTAAGGGGGTGGCATGAAGCTGAAGCTTGAGCAGCGAGAGCGATGTCAAGATCTGAGGTGTGTAAAGCACTTAGCGCAGTGTCTGTGCCGTAAATTAAGTGCTGCATGAATGTCTGCTATTATTACTCCCGTTATTGCTTTTGTGGTTTGCCACTAACTGGCTCTGTGACCTTGGGTAGTCACCTCGCTGCTCGTGGGAGCTGAACTGAGAGCCTTCCCTCTGGCCTTGGCAGTTGCACAGTTCTAAGTGATTTCTAGCATCTGTCTCCTCCCGACTTCCCACCACCCCTTTGAAATAGGGGATAGAATGAACCCTCTTTTACATTTTCAATAGAAGACTCATTGTTGGAAGAGGGAGGCTTTTGTGGAGGGACAACCACCATGCTTATTAACATTTATGGAGCCCTTTTAGTTTCCTCAGTGCTGAGTGGGGTTTTATTAGAATGTGAACACTCCCCTTTTCGCACTGGGCTGGAAGCATCCCCCTGGCAAATGCACCATGGGGCCCTCAGCGGCCCCCAGCTTCTGTTGGGGGAATTGACCAGTGGGCTTATTTTCTTACCCCCCAGAATGCCACTACCCTCCCCTGACCCTGGATGGTGAAAGAATGTATTTCTATTGTCACTTGACAATAGGACCTCCTCAAGGCCAAGTTCAGCCTGCTGCATAATCAAAGGGGTGGTTTCTCCCCTCCTCCCCTTCAGTCCATGGAGGAATGTAGGAGTTGGTCCAGCAGCCACCCACATCCTCCAGGCCTGTGTGTGTTCACTGTCTGCTTCCTCTAAGAACCAGCTCTCAGGATCGCCGGCCCTGCTCAGATAAAATAAAGCCTTCCAGTCATATCCTTACATTTGACGTAAGCACACGGAGGCTTTTCTTGCTATGTACTGAATGGGGCTGTGCTGAAGACCAGGGGTAGCTCTGAGCCTGGCCCCTGGTGAAAGGGGGCCTTGTAGCTGGGAGCTCATTCAGGTCTGCGTAGCCGCCTTTTATCGGGCAGGGTGTCTCGGGTTTCCTATCTGCTTTCTTCGTTCCTCGATTGCCCATGGGGGAGGATGTCCTAGAAATCCTAAGTTGTCCTCCTTTGGTGCCTGTCTCCGCGGTGGTTGGCAGGAGCGCTCCCTTCATTTTCGCTCCCGGTCCACTGTCACTTCTCTAGCCTGCGCTCTCCTCACCTAATAGCAGCCACCCTTGCCTCTCCCTCGCCTCCTTCCTTGCCCGCTTCTCTCCTCTCCTTCCCATCCTACCAGTCTGCCCGCCCGCCCGCCTGCCCACACCGAGTGTTTTCTCAGGCCTGCCACGTGCCAGGCGTGGCGCTAAGCACTGAGATAAAGCAGTGAGTAAGGTCTCCACTAGTGGAGAGTCAAGTAACGACACAAATGCTGATTTAATTACAACTGGGGAAGGCTCTGCAAAGGAGAAGAACAGGGAGCTGCTAGTTAACCTGTTGTGGGGAGGTCAGTAAATAGCAAAAACACTGATAAAAATAGCTTTCTTATTCTTGAGTTACTAGGAAAGTGTCGGACAGGTAAGTGAAGGCACAGACGCACCAGGATGGAGGTGACTAGGCAGGCTTTCGGAGCTGGCAGCAAATTGGTTGGCAGGCTTCCTTGTTACCCATGGATACCTCCCCCACCTAAGTAGCTTTTATCCCCCTTAGAGCCAAGGAGAATTAAATTACCAACCAACTTGTTCATGAGCAAAGATGAATCCATTGGCAAATGTGTCTTTCCTTATTAGATTCCCATTGTCATTTAATGCCTTTTTATTTATGGATTTCTTTTGAGTAATGGCTCTGTGTCATGGCCTGGCACTTCTCAACAGTTTGGATTTGCAGGAGACATTGGTACAGAGCTTTTGGAATCAACTGGGGCTGGGCAGGGAGTGTAGCTGTCACTCCCTTGGTTTTACCCCGATTTTCCTCTAGCAGAGCCTTTTTGTCACATCGTGTGCTGTGACGGTGCCTTGGGAAAGAGGAAGGATGTAAGGAGGATTTGGCTTCTGAGCAAGTGCATAAACAAGGCATAACCCCGAGTCTTAAAACCCAGGGTTTGAGCAGAAGTGGCCTCCCGACGGGATGTGTAATAAAGCTTTTTGTAGCCTTCGCCCTGGCAGCTGCTGGAGGAGCTGAGTGATACTAATTTCACCTAGCCCTGTTTAATCATCGGTACCCTGTAAACCGAGCTCTCCGTTTTTCTTGTTTCAAAGGATCCGGATTCCTAGAGTAAATGGATCCGGCCACGTGAAGCAGCCTCCGCTTTATGAAAAAAAATTCACCGCCCCAAATCCCAGGCTGTTAAAACCTGATGTTTTCTGTTGTCCGGAGAAGGGTGTTTCTGCTATAAATGAAAGACGTGACAGGGGGTATTTCGAAGCTTTGTTTTGGTTATTGTCGATTCTGCCAACAAGTAACATCTGTATTTATTTTCCAAACTCCCCCAAATGGCTGATTTGCATCTGTTTAGTTCTTGGAGTAACATTTCATTTCCTGACTTTACAGGTTGCTATAAAATCCATCCGTAAGGACAAAATTAAGGATGAACAGGACATGGTTCACATCAGACGAGAGATTGAGATTATGTCATCCCTCAGCCATCCTCATATCATCAGTATTTATGAAGGTCAGTGATTTTTTTTTTTTCCATCCTCATATCAGTTACCATTCCTCATACCATGGGGCCTGCCAAGATTTTTAGGTAATTGCCCTTCTGGGCAGGAGCCAAGTATTTTTCCTCATGATGCAAAAATAGCCGGGTGTTATCTCCTATTTGGTTACCTTGAATGCAAGCAGACAGGCGTAGCGCAGCTCACTTTGGTCATAAAATATCTCCGGTGGGTGCCTCCTTCCGCTTCCCAGTTCCTTGGCGGTTGCTAAGCAACCCGCCCTATTGAAAGCCAGCCTGGGCGACAGCCCTGGTTTCTGAAAAATGGCAGTTTTGTTGGGCGACCAAGTAAGGGTGGATACATTACACTGTAAACATCATTCCCCAAAGCCGATGCTCAGGGGCGGTGTCATGAGTTACCCAAAGTTAGGCCCTTTGATGGAGCAATTGCCGTTGAGCAGGTGCAGGTCCAGTTCATTTTGAGAAAGAAGAGGGATCTGTGGGTGCAGATGGAGTTCAAGTTGGGGCAAAGCTTATAGAAGTGCTCGTGCTTCAACCTCCTTGCTCCCTCGTGGGAAGAGATGGAGAGAATCCATTTCCCGAATCTTATCATTTTTTTAAAATATCCTGGAAAAATATTACACAAGCGATATGTGTTTATTGCAGAAATGATTAAAAGACTAACGTTAAAATTAAAAAATAATTTCTGTTCTAACTCTGATAAAAAGCTCTCTATCAAGATTTACATTTTTATGTACTTCTCTATGTCTGTGTCTTTATCCAAAGTTAGATCATACAGTTTATACTGTTTTGTAGCTGGATTGTTTTCCAGTTTTTATATTATGCATCTCTTCCTGTGTCAATAAATATTCCCCCACGAGGACATTTTAAGCCGCTTTATAGTACTCCATTTATGGAAATACCATCATTTATTGAATCTAATTCCTTTTGTCAAACATTTAAGTTATTTCAAGTTTCTGGTGGTTATAAACAGGGCTTTAGTGACCCTCCTTGGACATCATTTTTATGTTCATTTTTTATTATTTTCTTATGAAAAATTCCTAGTCTTGGACTTTCTGAGTCAGAGTGTTTCTTGAGAATGTATATTTTTTACTTTCTACATTATTTATTCCATAGATTTATTTTTATAAAATTGAGACATGATTACAGTAAAAATAAGTTCACATACTACACAGAGTTATAAAAGTTGGAAAGCTTAGGTGAAGTCTCAACATCCTTAAATAAGCATTACTAGTGAACATATTTTCAGGTATTTCTTTCTGCATCTACAAACATACAGAGAATATTTTTTAATAAATGGTTGAGTCAGAAAAATGACCTATTTTTCATTTCTGGTCTGATCATGAGAAGTTATACAGTAAGAGCTAAGAGGACACAAAATGGTAACCCTGAAGTTCTTCTGATATTTAAAATTCTCCTTCTTTTGGTTCCCTGTTGTTTTTTGCCCCTCACCTAGAAGTCCATGCTGGTAATATTGTTTATCTTGATTTTAAGGGAACTTTTCATTCATTCAGCCATCTATTCATTCCACAGACATCTCTTGCAGTGATTCTCAAAATGCGGTCCCTGGACCAAAAGCATCAGTATAAACTGGGACTGTTAGAAATGCAGCTTCCTGGGCCGCACCCGGGACCTGCCGAATCAGCAGCTGTAGGCGGGGCCAAGCCGTCTTTGTTTTAACAGCTTGGGAACCACGTGTCTGCTGAGTGTCTATTTCTCGTGACACTGAAACGTGGTTAGAAATTTAAAGAGGAACATGGCATGAGTGCTCCAAGAGTGATGCAAGGCGTGACAGTAAAAGTGTTCTGAGATGTGTAAGCACCGCGTTCGGGGACTGTGTAGGCAACATATTCTGGGACCACGGAGGCCTGCGGGTGGGAAGTGTTCGTGGAGATGTGCGGCATCCCAGCTGGGCCTGGGGGGAGTGTTTCTGAGGAAGAACTGTCGAAAGTGGAATTTCAGGCTGATAAAACATCTGCATCTGCCTGGTGAAGGAGGGCACTTTCTAGAAGTTAGAAGTGAGTAGAGATACAAAATGTAGAATGAGAGTCAGTTTTATTAAGTTCTGAGTGTTCTTGCTCCCTGTGGCCTGGTTACTATGGAAACCGGAGGCAGTAGCGAAGGAGGACCTGCATGGTGGGACTGGGGTGGGTCTCATGCTCTGGGGGCACTTATGTGTCTGGGATTTCATGACCCAGAGTAGGAGCCTCTTCATCAGAAGACGGAGAGAGAGTTGTGTCAGCAGGAAGGTCTCAGGTTCTTTATTGGGAGGCATCTGCGGTAGCCGAAGTCCTACATGGAGAAACCTAACTTCCTTGCTAGTAGTGTGCCCTCTTTGACCTTGGGAATCCTAGAGGCCAAATGGGGAGCAGGTATCTGTCTGCCTCCCAAGGGAAGGCCAGAGATGAACCTCAATGGAAGAACTTCCTATTATCAAGGTCAAGCTGGCTTCAGTCCAGCCCCTGCTGGGGGCTTCAAGAAGAGAAGCCCTTGCTCAGATGAGTGCCAGTGTGAATTCAAGTTCTTTCGGTGACCCAAAAGAATTTCCCTCAATTCATATTGAGAAGGCCTCAGTTCACCTCAGTTCATAAAACCCTCCGATCTGGTTTTGGGGGGTCAGTTCTTACACCACACAGTCCGCAGTGGCCTAGACACGAGACTGTGGGCGAAATGCAGGCCTCTCGGTGCCTCAGTAACCACACCCACAAATTGAGGATAGTGTCCTGCCTCTCTCCTAGGGATGTTGGAAGGATTAAGTGTGATGATGCATGTACTGGTAAGCTCAAAAAGTTTATTATTTTGAAGACAGTGTAATCATCCTAAGTGGTTCTTAACCTGGGGTCCACTGATAAGGGCATTTCATGGGGGAGCTGCCGGGGGTCTATAAACACTCTGGAATAGTCTGTCACTACATTGTACAGTACAAAAACCGCGATCCAGACGTGGATATTTAAATTAAAAAATAATTGAAATGAAAAGATTTAAAAATGCAGTTCTTCAGTCGCACTAGCCACGTTTCAAGTGCTCGCTGGCCACCTGTGTCCAGTGGCTGCCCTGTTGGACAGTATAGATACAGAACCCTCTCATCATTGCAGGATAGGGCCATGCTGGCGTAGATATACTCTTCTGTGGTAAGTGTGTAGGTTTTTTATTTTTTAAAAATTTATCTTATTGTTGTAAGTATTACAGATGTCCCCCTTCCCCCCCATTGATCCTCTCCATCCCACCCCACCCCATTAGGTTATTTTTTATGGGGGATGCATAGCTTTCCTCAGACTCTCAGAGGGATTCCTGACTTCAAATAGGTTAAAAAAATACCCATGGCCATCAATTGTTTTGTGACCTGCAGAGAACCGTATAAATAAAAGGTATGGTTTTTATCCAGAAATCTCTAAGGGGCTTAAGTGGGATCCTTTTTTCTTTTTAATTTCTTAGAGATCTCCAGTTTCTGTTCTGTGCTCTTTCCCTTCTCCCACGCAAGTTCCGTTTCTCCCACATCCACTAAATAACTGTGGAGGGGGCAGCCCCCCTCCCTCCCTGGGGGTTAGGAGTGGAGATGGCCAAGGTGCTGTTCTGGCTCTCACACCTCTATATGGCACCCCGACGTCTTCAGGTCTATGACTGTGTCCGCTTTGCTGCCCAGGACCCCAAGGCATGAATTCGGACACCCTGATGTCAGCAGGCCAGTTGTTCCCATTGGGCAGTTGTGGAAACTGAGGCTCTGAATGATTAATGACTCGCTGGGTGTATTAGTTTGCCAGGGCAACCACAACCAAGTACCACAGGCTAGGTGGCTTAAATGATAGAAATTTACTGTCTCACAATTCTGGAGGCCAGAAATGCAAGGTCAAGGTACCAGCAGGGTTGGTCTCTTCTGAGTCCCCTCTCCTTGGCTTGTAGATGACGGTCTTCTCCCTGTGTCTTCACATCTTCCTCCCTCTGTGTGTGTCTGCGTCCAAATTGCCTCCTTCTTTAAGGACACCAGTCACATTGGATTAACACCCCCCTAATGACCTCATCTAATCTGTTATCTCTTTAAAGCCCCTGCATCTGTGCAGGGTCACATTCCGAGGTACTGGGAGTTAGGACTTCAACATGTGAACTTCGGAGGACCCAATTCAGCTCATAACACTGGTGTCACAGTGAGCCTGTGAGTTAATAGGCTGGTTTCTCTGCCCCTCACAGAGTGAAAGGAACCTTCTCTCTGGAAGCTGATTGATTGGTTGACAGGCCAGTCAAGAGCCTTAGCTGAATGGAGAGATGCATTAATATGTTTAATGAAAAATCAGTGCCAGGGCATCTAAGTGGCTGTCTGGATATTAGCCAAGTGAATAGAAGCTATTGAAGAACTTTGCAATTTTTCCCCTCCCCTC